CGATCCTCATCACGATCAGAAGAAAAAGAAAAAGAAAAGGTCGAGGCAGCCTCCATGATAGCCACTGCAACACCATCATCATCGCCACTACTGTCGACCACGACGACAACCAGTCTGGCCCACCCAATTGGTCCTCAACTAGTCGGGCCCCCCCAACTGGTCCTCGCCGTGAAGAAGAAAAGAAGAAAAAAAAAATCAAATCAAATTCGACTTACCTTGGGGTGCACAGCGACTCCTCTCTTCGACAAGCATTATGATTCTCCAAGATCCTCTCAAGCTAGAAAGTAGAGAAAATAAGTTTTCAATTTGAAGAAGAGTGAAGAGAAGCCTTGTATTTATAAAGGTTGGGCATCCTAGGTCAAGGAGGAATCACAAGCCTATTCCCATTAGGAGCCTAACTCCAAGAAAAGTCAAAACCCTACTCAAATTAGGAGCCCAATTTTCAAAAGGAGTCCAACTCAAAGAAGAAAGCCCATATGTAGTTGGAAAGCCTGAAGAATATTTTTCATCTCCTACATACCTCACAAGCGCCATGCAGAAGCTCAGGGCATTTGTGGGAGCAAATAATCTGGCTTCCAATTACAAGGTGACATGTGCACAAGAAGAATAACTCATATGTGAATTAATTGAGCCCATTTATTTGGCCAATTAATTGATACTAAAAATAGGGATATTATCTTTATTTGGGAATATAATCACCAATTAAAAGATAATATCACCAATTTAGGATATTACCTTATTTTGGAGATCATCATCAATTAGTGATATGATCCCAATCAAATCCCTAATTGATTCAATCTCTACATTTTGGGGAAAGAATATCTTCTTTCCAAATAAGAAGATATTCTTTGAAAAACCCTAGATGGCTAGAGCCCTATAAATACATTGCTACATTCAACACACATGGTAATTTGAAACTCAATTCTGAAACCTACAAAAAATACCCGAAGCCTCTCTCTCCAAGCAGACGCCCACCCTAACCTCCGGCCTCTACCACTCTTGTCTATCCCATATGGCCAAGTGCCACCACACCCCGTGAGAGAAAACTCCTTTCTTAGCTATTGTTTCTCAAAAATCCAATCGAACTGACTTAGGCATTTAAGGGCCTTTGACCAACCCCCCTCCCGGGTGTGGTCTTTCACGCATGTTTGATTTTACAGGAATTGAGGAAGAGAGATAAGGAAGTTCAAAGGGTGAAGGATCTACAAGCGAATATTCTCCCGTGAGAAATTTGCACAAACATTTATGATAACTATTAATTTTGGACACTATAAATGTAATAACCCAAACCTTAATTAATATTTAATTATTAATTTATGTAAGTAAAAGACAATTTTACCCCGGAATATTTTAATGGTTTAAAAGTTGACTTTTTATTCGGGAAGGAATTTGGGGATTTCAATTGTATTATTGCTTTGAGCACGTCGAGATGAGTTCGTAGACAAATAGTGGGCTCAAATCTAAGTTGTAATGAGAGAGATATGATCAAAATTCAAGTAGGGGAAAAATCGTAATTTTGTGAAAGTGGTTTTTAAAACCAGATTCTCTCTCTCTCTCTCTCTCTCTCTCTCTCCTCACCAGGGACGGTCCCAGGGTTTCAAAATGGTGTGGGCTAAATTTAACTTACGTACCTATTGAAAACTCAACGGTACGAGTAAATTTCATTGATAACAAAAAAATACAAAGGGGGACATAATGAGCCCCAAAATTTCATTGATACTTCATAAACCCTAATAATCCCCAAAATTTCAAAAGAAAAGAAGATGAAGAATGGAAGATTACCTTAGTTTGCTTTAATTAAGTCTGAGGACATGCATAATTTTCCTTTTTGTCGAAGAGCAGGATTTGCCGCTAGCGGATGGTCTTCTACTGCGCCAGAGATAGAGGGAATTCTTTTTTCTTTTTTTTTGGTAAAGGGGAGAGGGAATGTCTCTGCCTAGTGTAGTGATTTTGGAACAGATGGGCATTGTAGCGGGATTAGTTAATAACTGTGGGGTTTAGTTCTTTCTATTTATTTGTTTGTCAACCTAGTCCTAGTGGGATTAGTTAATAATATTTTATTTGGGTGGTTAGCCCAATCCTAGTAGGATTAGTTAATAATATTGTATTTGGATGACCTAAGCTAGAGCATTAATTTAGTCCTTAAAAAAAACAAGTTGCCTCGGCTTTAGCCCAGGTTAGCATGCTAGTGGGTACGTCCTTGCTCCTCACCCTTGACTCCGATCTCTCTCTCTCTCTTCGATTCTCTCTGCTCGGCAAGGGCCAACGCTAGTCTTGTTCAAACTGGCTCGACCTCGCCGTCAGAAAACTTGAATCCTGCCGGCGGTGACGACTGGTTTTTCTATGATTTTTCCCTGCGTCGCCACAGCATTTCCGGCGAACTTCTCCATTGAATCAGGTATGGTTTCTCACTCATTTTTCGTGCTCTAGCTGCCTGTTGGGTAGGATTGGATCGATTTTGAGTCTAGGTATTCCGATTTAGAAACCCAGATTTTGGCTAGATTTTGAATTGAAATTCCGGCCAATTGCCGTCCAAATTGGACCATCCCACCGTTATAGAAAGTGACCCACACATCAAGTAGAAGCTGTAGGTGGAGCGGTCAATGGTGGTGTGGAGTTTTTCCGTCGTCGAAAATTACTCTACACACCCACGCGCTGGCGGTGCCTGTGGCGGCGCATGGGCACTGGAGTGGGGCCACAGTGTGTTCTCATGTGATCCCCGTGTCATTCCAAGCGTGTAGGTGTGCGCGAATCCTATTTTGAACATCGTTTGAACCTTGAACGGATTTATGCCTATTGTGCCCTATTGTGTATATATTT